TAACTCTCTGTTTTTCAAGAAAACTGAGGCTGCCTATTCTTAGAATAATGAATCCCGTCTTTCCCTGCTGTATTTATGTATGGATCAGTTTTTGTATTATTTTTGGGGCCATCAAATGGGTTTAATTGGTTTGGGCTTTAGTGGGCTACTAATGGGCAAGTCCCTCAAAGTTGAGGAAAAACCCAACAAATCTCCCCCTCCCGACTACAAGAGGGACTTCACCAAGCCCACTTCACTTCTATATACTTGTAGTTTCTCCATAGACAATGACTTTGTCATCATATCTGAACCATTCTCATTAGTATGGATTTTCTCAAGCTGTAACTTCTTCATCTCCAGTGCATCTCGAATCTAATGATACCTCACTTCAATATGTTTGGATCTTGAGTGAAAAGTTAGCTTCTTATTGAGATGGATAGCACTCTGACTGTCACAATACAGTATATACTTCTCTTGCTCTAACTCCAGTTCTTGTAAGAACTCCTTCATCCATAGTAACTCCTTACTAGCTTCAGTGATGGCTATGTACTCAGCCTCTCTGGTAGGTAGAGCAACATATTTCTTTAGTCTAGACTGCCATGAAACTGCTCCCCCTGAAAAAGTGATCAAATACACAGAGGTAGACTTTATAGAGTCTACATCACCAGTCATATCTGCATCTGTGAACCTAACAAGCTTAGGTTTGCTGGTGCCAAAAGATAAACACATCTTAGAACTCCCTCTGAGGTACCTGAGAATCCACTTCACTGCTGCCCAGTGTTCTTTTCCAAGATTAGAAAGGAATCTACTGACAAATCCAATAGAATGAGCAATGTTTGGCCTTGTGCATACCATAGCATACCTCAAGCTACCCACAGCTGATGCATAAGGTACATTCTTCATTTCTTCATTTTCATTCTCACTTGAAGGACTTTGTTTTGAACTCAATTTCAAATGACTTGCAAGTGGAGAGCTAACTGGTGTTGCCTTGTCCATATTGAACATGTGTAATACCTTCTCGAAGTAACTTTCCTGTGATAACCATAATCTTCCATTCTTTCTGTCACGAGAGATTTTCATACGGAGGATTTGATTTGCAGGTCCCAAATCATTCATTTCAAAGGATTTGCTCAACTCCTTTTTTAACTTCTTAATTTTTTTCGTGTCACGACTTGCAGTCAACATGTCGTCCACATAGAGCAAGAGAATAATAATTCCCCATAAGAGAATTTCTTTATAAACATGCAATGATCAGAAGTTGTTCTGGTATACCCATGCTTAACCATGAAGAAATCAAATTTCTTGTACCATTGTCTCGGTGCCTGCTTGAGACTATACAAGCTTTTCTTCAATCGACATACAAGATTTTTTTTACATTTAGCTGTAAATCCTTCTGGCTGCTCCATGTATATTTCCTCTCCAAGGTCACCATGGAGGAAAGCCGTCTTCACATCAAGTTGTTCAATCTCCAGATTCATACTGGCTGCCAATCCTAACACAACTCGGATTGAAGACATTTTAACCACAGATAAAAAGATTTCTTCAAAATCAATACCTTTCTTCTGACCAAACCCCTTCACAACCAACCTTGCCTTGTATCTTGGCTGCAAGCTATGTGGTTCAACTTTTAGTCCAAGCACCCATTTGTTCTTAAGTACTCTCTTGCCCTTAGGCAACTCTACTAGATCATAGGTGTTGTTCTTATGCAAAGATTTCATCTCTTCTTGCATAGCTTTTAATCACTCATTTTTCTGATCATGAAGCAGAACCTCCTGATAACTTTCTGGCTCTCCCCCATTAGAAAGTAACACATATTCATTACTAGAGTATTTCTTGGAAGACTGGTGCTCTCTAGTGGATCTTCTCAAACCTTCTTCAGCTGACACCTCGAGAGGAACATTCTCTTGAATTTGATGTGGTTCTGCATTACCCTGTGTAGAGGCTTCATCATGTCTTTCTCCTGTAGTGTCATGCTCTTCTTGCACATTTTCTCTCTGATCATCATGTACCACAAGATCTAGTAGTGGTACATGTGGAACTGAATTGGTTTGTTCTTCATTGACTGTATTTGGCTTCTTAGTCCGATCCAAATCTTCAATGGTTTCATTTTCAAAGAACACAACATCTCTGCTCCTGATAATCTTTTTGTTCACTGGATCCCACAATCTGTACCCAAATTCTTCATGTGCATAACCCAAGAAGATACACTGTTTTGCTTTGCTATCCAATTTGGACCTTTCATCTTTAGGAATATGAACAGATACCTGACAGCCAAAAACTCATAAGTGATCAAGAGATAAATCCTTCTCTGTCCAAAAGCTCTGTGGAACTTCACCATTCAAAGGAACTGATGGAGAAAGATTAATCAAGTCAACTGCTATCCTCATTGCCTCAGCCCAGAAGTGGTTAGGCAATTTTGCATGAGAGAGCATACTTCTGATTTTCTCACAAATAGTCCTGTTTATTCTTTCTGCCACCCTATTTTGTTGTGGGATCTTTGAAACATTTTTCTCAAGCCAGATGCCATACCTTCTGCAGTACTCTTCAAATGGCCCTCTGTATTCACCACCATTATCTGCTCTGACACATTTTAACTGCCTTCCAGTTTCTCTTTCAACTTTCAAATGAAAGTCTTTAAATACTCCCAGCACCTGATCTTTAGACTTCAAAGAATATGCAAACACTTTTCTAGAGTGATCATCAATAAATGTAACATAATACAATGCACCGCCTAGAGATTTACTTTGCATCATGCAAACATCAAAATGAACTAAATCAAGAATGTGAGTCTTTCTAGATGCAAGGAATCTATGAAATGCAACTTTAGTTTGCTTACCAACTAAGCAATGAGTACAAGGGATTAGTGATGTACCTTTCACGTTATGTAGGTGCTTCTTTCTGGACAGGATTTTAAATCCCTTTTCACTCATGTGGCCAAGCCGCTTATGCCATAACTTAGTAGAGGCTTCATTTTCAGCAATATTCACATTTCCATGAATTAGTTTTGCTTTTGTTTTGTAGAGACCATTAGTCTTCTTCCCTCTGGCTAAAATAAGAAAACCCTTTGTAAGTTTCCAACAACCATCTCCAAGGTGATTGTGATAGCCTTCTTCATCAAGCTTTCCAACAGAAATCAAGTTGCAGCACGTATCAGAAACATGTTTGACATCCCTGATAAATAACTTGCTACCAATGCTAGTTTCCAATTGAACATCCCCCATACCAACAATTCTTGCTTTAGCTTCATTTCCCATCCTGATCCAACCAAAATCACCACTAGTATAGGATGAAAAGAAATCCCTACGTGGAGTAATATGAATAGAAGCTCCTGTATCAACTATCCACGTAGAATCCTGGTATGAAAGGCTAGCAAATGCATCATCACAAGCAACAAATATCTCTGCATCAGATGCAACTGCTATGGTCTCCTTTTGTTCTTTCCGTTCTTCACCTTTCAATTTTAACTGTTTTCTTTTCCATTTCCTGCACTCCTTGTTAAGATGCCCCAGATTGCCACAGTGATAACATTTTATCCCTTTTCTTGACTTTGATCTTCTTCTAGACTTGTCATGACTGTCATCACCATAAGGTTTTCTACTTTGGTTTCTCTCCCTTCTTTCTGTAAAAAGTGATTCAGAGTTAGAAGAAGCACCTTGCTCCTTTCTTCTGGCTTCTTCATTAAAAAAACTGTCTTTCACCATGTTGACAGTGATCACACCATTTGGAGCTGAATTACTCAGAGAGACAACTAAAGTTTCCCAACTATCTGGTAATGAACTCAACATAAGTAAAGTCTGCGCCTCACCATCTAGTGTAAGCTTCATGGTAGTCAACTCATTCAACAACTCTTGAAAGTTACTCAAGTGCTCTGCAACACTATTACCATCCTTGTACTTTAAATTCACAAGCCTTATGATCACAAAGGCCTTGTTCTGTGCGGTATTTCTTTCATAAAGACCTTCTAATTTTTGTCAAAGACTGTATGCATCTACTTCTTTGGCTATATGATGGAAGACACTCCAATCAACCCACTGCCTAATTTGTCCAACAACCTTTCTATTCAACTTCTTCCAATCCTTATCAGTCTTAGAATCTGGTTGCTTGCCATTCAATTCAATGGGATCGAACAAATCTTTGCAATACAAAATATCCTCCATCCTAGTCTTCCAAATAGAATAATTGGAAGATGAGACTTTAACCATGCCACTAACCGAATCCTCCATTTTAATTCTCACAATAATCAGAGACTTAACCTCTCTCTGATACCACTTTGTTGGGGATTGAACCAATAATGATAAACCAAGCAACGAAAACAATTTCACAATCCCCATTATGCAGAATAAAAATGGCAGTAAAATAATAACCTCGGCTCCAAATATTAACTCACACACACTGACAGAAATTGAACGATAAGAACACAAAGATTTGTTCACTAGGGAAATCCTTCGGCGTGAAGGAAAAACCCCGGAACCTAGTCCAGTAAAAGCCTTCCACTATAAAATAATGGGATACACAGTTAACCTTCTCCAAAACAAACTCTAGAGGCTACCAATACATCAAGAACACATATATATTCTGGGATACCAACAACAACATCATACTAAAATAGATACACACAAAATAAGGAGAAAATCTCACTAAACTAGTGTGTAAAGCCCAAAGAAATGGAGAGGAATCTGGACGATCAGCTCTGGTCAAAATGTAGCTATCTTTACCAAGAATAACATAATGAAATTTCAGCTAAGTTGGACCACAAACGAGCCTCCATCCTTTGGCAAGAGGAAGCTGAAATGCTGAAGTCTCTCTTTCTCGTAACTCTCTGTTTTTCAAGAAAACTGGGGCTGCCTGTTTTTAGAATAATGAATCCTGTTTTTCTCTGCTGTATGTATGTATGGATCAGTTTTTGTATTGTTTTTGGGGCCATCAAATGGGTTTAATTGGTTTGGGTTTTAGTGGGTTACTAAATGGGCAAGTCCCTCAAAGTTGAGGGAAAACCCAACAGGTTTTAATGTCCACACAAATTGTTCAAATTTTTAACTCCTATCTGCACACATTATACACAAGAACAACCTAAAATGAAGACCGGAAAACCTTCTTCCCTTTTACCGACATGTTGGATCGCTATAAAATTCACAAGTGCATGTCTGGTAGGTACTACTAAATACGACTATTTTACTTACCTTAATACTGTCTAGTCGTATATATGTTGCCAAACATGCCATAAACAACAACAATAACAACAGCAACAACAATTTTTACAAACAACATTGGTAAAGAAGACAACCAAATCCACACTCGAGGGGATTCTTGTACAGGATTCAAGCCTTTCCTGCAATCCTCGCATTCGTAAGTCCAACACAAGCATCAACAAAATCTTCTTCGATGAAATCAGTGGAAAAAATCTGCAACTGATCCTGAAAGGCCCTCGAAAAGCATTGGGATAAAAACAGCCTAGCATATGGTCGGATCCTATCCGTAACCGGTTTAACACACATAATCGGACTATCCGCTTGTGGTGTAACAGTATTTTCCACCCTGTAAAAGTATTTTCTTGAATTCACTGGTTTTTGCCCACTCAAATGCTTCATATTGCTTTTGAATTTTGTCAATGGCAATTCTGTATCAATCCAGTTATCTTTCAAGTACCTGGAACTCCATAACAGCCCTCCTGCCTTTGGCTGGGATGATTTTCTTGGCTTCCACACACATATAATTCTCTTAGGTAATAATTCAGCAATTGTTTTATCAAAAACTTGGTCATCCTGATGAATAAGAAACTCCCCTATTTGATCCTCTAAATATTTATCGAAATTGGGAGGATCGTCCTGTCCAAATTCAGTACGGATTTCAAGGATTATAACCTCGGATTCTGTCTCTGACAAAAACCTCTTGACATCCTCAATCACGACATCAACATTGTACGTTGTCAGAATACCATGACATACTAGACGATCTTTCTGGACACGGATATCAAAGAGGCGGGCTCCGAGTACCAGTTGTTGGTAGATTGACAAGGATTGACATTGCGCCAAAGGACGAGTAACAAGCGGAATTCCAATCTCGTTTGTCGCCGAATCATGTGTACCAGGCCACACAATCTGGTTAACAACAACCTTTTCGGGGTCGAGGCCTGACATCCAGTTTTTTCGATCATTCGGAGTATAGTTAGAACCCGGGAACTCATCTCCTGATGTACGTTTCATATCACTTAGAGCTTTCTTCTCAGCCAGGATTTCTTTTAACCGATCCACCGGATTGGAAATCGCACCCCCCATTGTCGGAATACAACAAGAAGCTAAAAAATTCTTATTCTTATTCTTCTTCTTCTGGTTTTGGTTTTGGTTTTATTTATTATTATTATTATTTTTTTTTCATGAAAACATAGTATGTTGCTGCGGTGAATTATGTGCCTTTGAAGGTCGGGTTTTTCACTAATTATTTTGATAAAAATATAGGCCAGCTTGGTTAATTTATCGATTTGTTTACTTGGTTGGTACACAAGCATTTTAATTAATTAGGTTAATTTGATTATATATTTATATTTTGGTAAATGATTTGGTTATAGTTTATAACATTATTCTCTATGACATCGATCATTAGGTTTTTTCTATTATACAGAAATTGAAACATTTGTTTTTAATTAGTAAATTCAAACAAAAGTTTAGAGATATTCTACAAATAATTGAGAAAACTAATAGAGTTGGAGTTGTGTGTTAAAATGGTATTGTCACACTAATAAACATATTTTGTCCAATTTACAAGAAAAAGGATAACCAGTGTTTACTTTGACAACTTCAAGTTGTTCTTCACATTTTAATATATATATATATGGACACACACACAAATATGTTCGATCTTCAATAGTTTAAATTTATAGATGAAGTATTGCAGCATGCTATTAAATACAATGATCTAAAATTATGCTTTTTAGATAATGTATATCACCTAGTCACTTTGTTAATTCATATGTTTCCATGATATATATTTGAGAAATAATTTTAAATAATTAAATTTGTTAAAATTAATTATTTAATTATGCAAATTGAGTTTCATAAGAAAGAAGGCTAGACGAGTTGATATAAAGGAAGCTTTGAAGAAAATAATGCTCTAAATGGTGAAACCATTTGGGATTTATTTAGAGTAAATTCTGATTGTGAAATAATCAAATCTATTTTAGGTGTTTCATAAAAATAGAAATTTAATTATAGAAGAATTTATACAATCTGACAGCCACATTTCATTTACAAATTTATTATTATTATTATTATTATTATTATTATTATTATTATTATTATTATTATTATTATTATTATTATAGTTTTCTATTTTTGTTAATGATTTTTTGTCCTTTTTTGTATTTTACAGTATGATGCTGAATGTGTACTTATCATGTTTAAATTTTAATTGTTGGGTTGAAAAATTACAAAGAAAAACATCCTATTTGTATGTTTTTGCAATCAAATTAATAATGAAATAATATTAAAAAATGTGAAAAATCATCTAGAATGATATTTGACAATCTTTTTTATATTTATTATCAACAGTGAATAATATTGACGTAGACATGAATATGAAGGGTGTTTGTGACTACTGACCAAGTGGGCCGTAATGAAAAATATAGAATTCTTGTTTTATTTGAAGGGGTGTGATTGATTTAAAAAATGTTCTCTTTTCTATTGTTTTAATTGATTGGGTTTAACGTTAGATTATCATTACCATCATCATAACAACAATAACAGCAGCAGCAATAACAATAATAAAATGAAAATCAGTAACTTGTAAAATTTTAATCCTTTTCATCAAACTTTATAATATTATTTGTTGGTTGATTTTATGCTTATAATGTCGCTAACTGTTGACTCATTTGCATTTTAACTCCACATTTTAAAGCCTTTATTTTATATTTTTATTTTCCTAATATCAAGATTCATGTTCACCACCTTAAATTTACTATATTTTACATTATTATACAAATTGTAAGTACTGTTGTTTTTAGAGTTTGACGTTACTCTTTCGAAACGAATCCGACAGAATCATCTGAATGTAAGAAATGATCAACAAGATCCAAAATCTAATTCGAGCCCACCGACTTCACGATGTTTTCTTAAAACGAATTTGCTGCCTTCAATGGTGCTGAAGGCATCCAACAATCGTTTCCCAGGATATAACGAATTTTCGTCTCTTACGAAAGCAGCACTGCAATCTGCAGGAGTTCTAACGAACTCAATGAAGTGTGTTTTATTTCGAGACGATATCAGAACGAGAGAAAGGGGAATGAGATTCAAAGCATAGAAAGTTTGCAATGAAAATGGTGTGAATTTTTTGGTAGAGAGACATGCTATTTATAGACTTGTTCGTGGCCATTCGAACAGTCATCACCTTTCAGACAAATCTCAAAACTCAATTTCAAACTTCCCCCTTTCAAAAACTATTGGTACCCCTTGGGGCCCAAACCCAATTCCAAACTTCCACCTTATGAACCACACCAAAGTTTCCTAACTCTCCTATGTGGACTAAGTGTTTAGAAAATCAAATTCTTCCATAATACTTAGTTTATGTGGGTTATTTTAACATTTAATATTTCATTCAATTTTAAATGGTTTTCGACAAATAAATATATCACGTTAATCATCTCGCGGAGTAGAACGTGAATATGCTAGGTCCCGTATTAATTAAAAGGTGAGTCCTATTGAAATTTGGACTCAAAGTTGACCCATTTCATAACCATTTTTCCAACAATCCTCCACATGAATGAAATATGTTGGCCTTTTTCCAAACAATAACATCTGATATGTTTTTCAAAAAAAAAATTGAAGAAGAAATGCATCGGAATAAGTAGTCAATGACTTTGAACTTTCCCTAGTAAAATCTATCGGATTTCCTTAGCCAATCAATAGCAAGTTGTTTTGAACAGTCAACCGTTTATGGAAACCTAAACAATAAAAGTCACACAGTTTTCTTCGAACACAGTTGTTTCTCATGTTTGTGTCCATTTTGGCATTTGGACACCTCCTGGTTCATGAGTGATTTTTAGAGAATTCATCATCACCTAATTCTCTTAGAAGCGTCCCCTTCTCACTCACATAGGTGATTTTCATAAAGAGTATTCTGCTATACTCCACTTGAACGAATCAATATATAGAAATCATTGAAAGCGTATCTTAACCTATTTTGCGGCAGCTGGACACTGGCTCATCATAGGAATGGATAAAAGTAAAATCTTCCCAGTGCATACTAAGTTTTTCACAGTTCGGTTGTCCCATTGAACCTAGAACTTGGGATCTCCAGCCAACTAGGTTGGGTTGCCACCATGGAAACTTTTGATTATTTTATTAGTTTTAATCCCATCCCCTTCGATAAACTTTCGACTTGCTCTTCTGTTAAACTTTTAGTTAGCGGATCCGCAATATTCTCTTTTGATTTCACATAATCTATAGAGATAATGCTTGTAGAGAACAATTGTCTAACAGTATTGTGTCTACGACATATATGTCGAGATTTACCGTTATACATTGCATTTTGTGCCATACCAATTGCTGATTGACTATCGCAATGGATACATATAGCAGGCACAGGTTTTGTCCAACATGGAATATCTTCTAGAAAGTCTCGTAGCCATTTGGCTTCTTCTCTGGCTTTGTCTAATGCAATGAATTCAGATTCCATTGTTGATCTAGCTATACATGTCTGTTTTGAAGATTTCCATGATATTGTGGCACCTCCAAGTGTAAAGACATATCCACTTGTTAATTTGGAGTCTTTAGTATTTGATATCCAATTTGCATCAAAGTATCCTTCAAGTACTGTTGGATATCTCGAATAGTACAATCCAAAATTTTGGGTATGTTTTAAATACCCTAAAACTCTAACAATAGCCTTCCAATGATCAGTGCTTGGATTACTTGTATATCGACTTAGCCTACTAATTGAATAGGCAATATCAGGTCGAGCGCAATTCATGACATACATTAAACTGCGAATAATACGAGAGTATTCCAATTGAGACTTACTATCACCAGTATTGGAAACAAGATGCATACTAACATTCATAGGTATTTTCATAGGAATAATATCATATTTCTTGAATTTATTAATAATCTTCTCAATGTAGTGTGATTGAGACAATATGAGACCATCAGATCTTCTAGAAATTTTAATTCCTAATATAACATCGGCCACACCTAAATCCTTCATTTCAAATCTACTTGTTAGTATCCTTTTTGTAGTTTGAACTGTGGTATCATTGTTACCCATAATCAACATGTCATCTACATATAAACATACCATGACATATCCATTTGGAGTGTTATTGACATAAACACATTTGTCACACTCGTTAATTTTGAAATCATTTGACATCATAACCACGTCAAATTTTTCATGTCATTTCTTAGGAGCTTGCTTTAATCCATATAGTGATTTAACAAGTAGACAGACTTTCTTTTCTTGTCCTAAGGCCACAAATCCTTCAGGTTGCTCCATATAAATTTTTTCATCTAATTCCCCATTCAAAAATGCCCGTTTAACATCCATTTGATGTATATCCAAACCATTCAATGCTACTATTGCAATAAGCATACGTATGGAAGTGATTCTTGTCACAGGAAAATAGGTATCGAAATAATCAATACCTTCTTTTTACTTGTAGCCTTTAGCGACAAGTCTTGCTTTATATTTGTCAATTGATCCATCTGCTTTCATTTTCCTTTTGAAAATCCATTTACATCCCAAAGGCTTATTACCGGGAGGGAGGTCTACTAATTCCCAAATATAATTTTGTAGTATGGATTCAATTTCACTATGAACAGCTTCTTTCCAATATGAAGTTTCGGTTGATGACATAGCCTCTTTAAAACTTTGAGGTTCATTTTCTAACAAATATGTTAGAAAATCAGGCCCAAAGGAGGTTGACGTCCTAGCCCTCTTACTTCGTCTAGGTTGTTCATTTATAGATCTTGATCTATAGTCTCTTCGTTTTCACGAGATCTCTTTTTTGAATTTGATTCACCTTGCATGTTATAAGGAAAAGTATTTTCGAAAAATGTAGCATCCCTTGATTCAATAATCGTATTAACATGCATATCAGGTATTTCAGACTTATCTACCATAAATCTGTACGCATTACTATGGTAAGCATAACCATTGAATACACAATCAAAGGTTTTAGGTCCTATCTTAACCCTTTTAGATTTAGGAACTACTACTTTAGCCAAACATTCACATATCTTCAAGTATTTATAATTAGGTTTATGACATTTCCATACTTCATAAGGTATCTTTTGCGTTTTTCGATATGGTAGTTTGTTAA